TTAAATTTACTTACAGCCATGTCACTTTTGAATGGCTGATCAATGACAAATGCATTACTATCAAACAGTGCCTTGTCTTCTTCTAATTTTTTATCAGTGTTTGTACTATCAAAATAATCAAAAGCAGCATCATTTCCTATTTGCCAGTTCTCATCTACAGGATCTGACAAAATATTGTCATTTGATTGTGTGCTGACTAAACCAATATTCCTTGGTTCTGAATCAAACAAGCATGTTATAAAATCCTCTATATACTTCATGTTATCATCTTTGTTACCATTGGACTTTCTTTTTCTGAACAGATGGTGTTGACCAAGACTGTTACTTGATTTGTATACAGGTAAATTTTCTTCAAAACGCACCCTCCTTTCTGATAAATTTGACTCACTTTTAGATTTCCTTTTCAAATTTGATCTTACAGGAACATGAGGAGTATCATCAATTATGTCTGGCACTTTGTCTCTTACAGATCTGTGTAACTTGCATGAATTGACTTGTCCTGGCTCGACAGCATGGAAAGAACATTCACACAATATAGAATCCTGTTCCTGGTCGGTGTTTTCCATCTGATAAGACTTCACATCCTCAAAGCTGCAATCTATAGCAAACTGCTGATTTATATCAGCACTGTTGTAACCATCTATATCATCTGACTCTGGATTTACTACAAATCCTGGCATTTCAAATGAAGCAAGTTCTATCTCATCTCCAGATTCAGAATCAGTTTCACTTGGTCCTGATTCAGAATCTGAGGAATTATCTTCTGCATTGAAATCAATCTGTTGTGCTTCGAAACTTTGCTGTTCAAGTGCATCTTCATCTAATTTAACATCACCGAGACCCAAGGATTCCAGCTTTGAATGTAAGCTCAGTTGTTCATTGTTTGGCTTTTTGGAATTTCCACTTTCTACATCATTTTTCTTTTTTGTGTTATTGATGTTATTCGAACTTTTAACACAGTTTTGTACTTCAAGTGGCGAAAGCAACTCACTGCCTCTTTCCGATCTTTCTGTTACATCTCTTGTTTCATTGTTAACATGATTTCCATTTTCTGCCAAGCCTTTTGCTTTCTTTGCTATGCTTCCTTCATCAGATAAACCCGACTTGGCTTTCTCAAAATCATAACTTACATTTTCATCATTAATATCAGCCTCCTTATCAGCATCATCATCATTTTCCACAGCAAAATCTTTACATTTTGACTGCAATATTCCTCCTTTATCAAAAACAGACTCTTTAAGACTTTTGTTATCATCTTCTTCATATAAGTCATATCCTTCACTTTCATTATCACCATCTCTTCTGTCACTATCAATTTCCTTTTTATTTGTATTTTTTCCACTTCTTATATATTTTTTCCATACTCTACGACATAACAAGTCAGTCTGTTGAGCATTTTCAAGCATTTTCTTAGGATCGTGCTCAGTTTTGTCAACCTTAATATCTTCATCTCTTTTTATTTTAGTAAGATCCGAGTCAAGAGAGGAAACAAATAATTCTTTTGGCCTTGGGATCTCTTGGGGCTTAAAATCTAGGACAGACACAGTGTATTTTGATGGTTTCTCTTTTTTCTTTGTTTCAGATTGCTTTTCAGATGATCTTATTCCACCTTCAATCCAACCAGAAGGGCAAGGATTTAACATATGAACAACACCAGGTGTTACCTTTTTATTCACATCCTTTTCATTTTCACGTGAGCTTGTACTTTCTAAACTCAGATTATCACTTGGTTTTGTTTCTTTTCTAACATGGTCTGATTTTTCAAGCTTAGAGCTTGGAGTTTTCTTATCAGTGCCAGTATTTTTCTCTTTGTTAACATTCCTTTCCCTTTCACTTTTAGATTCAGGAGGCATAGATATTTCACTGCAAGGTTCAGAACCCTGAAATGGTTTAATGTTTCCCATAATTATTACATTGTTTTCTTTACTATCCTCTTCTTGCATTAACTGTTCACTATTTTTCTTGTCTGACTTTTGGTTAGAAAAAACTTTGCTTTCTTTGATAACAATAGGGACCTTTTCAATTTTCTGTTCCTTATCATTTTTTTTAAATCTAAAAGTCTGACCTATGGTTTGAATTTCACTGTTCACACCTTTATTCCTTTCATCATTTGATTTCTTAGATCTTGAATCTGCTGGGAAAAAATTAGAAAGTGATGGTCTTTCTTCAACATGCTCCTTTCTGTCATTAAGGATGTGATCCCTGTATGTGTGCGGTAAATTTTCATCATCAACTTCATCCTTTTTGGTTTGTTTTGATGAATAAAGTGGCTTCAGGACTGTGATGTGGGTATTACCATTTATAGAATATGGTAGAAATGTATTTTTTTCTTTATTTTGTGATGGTAAATTCATTTCTCGATCTTCTGTACATTTCAATTCATTTAAATACTTTTTTTGATTTTGTTTATCAGTTTCTTCATTCTTTTTACTAGCAACAAAAACTTTACTGCCTTCTATTATTGGAATTTTAGTTTTTGAGTATGTGTCCTTAATTTCGTCAGTTGGAGAAAATAATTGCTTTTTAATTGTTTCCTTACCAATTTGTAAATGTTGTTTTATGTTTGGGATTATTTTGACAGGCGTGTCATTATCTTCCATTATAAATGATTTTCCAAGCAACGACTCTTGTTTGTTGTCAACTATTTCAATTGGTAGTCTGCTTTCTGAATGAGTAGCTATCTGTAGATCTTTTAACACTTCTGGTTTTTCACTGTTGTTTGCTATTGTTTGGGTTTCAGTTACATCCATCTGATTGCTATCCAAACTCTCATTTAATTGAATCGAAATGTTACCTTTACCTTCCATTTTCTGAGATTTTTCCTTTGTTTCCTGAAATATTTTTTCATCTCCTTCACTAAGAGATTCAATTGGTTCACAAAGTGCATTATCCTGAAGCTTTGGCTTTTGAAAAAAGTCCATTGTGTCTGTATTCTCTCTGTTTACATTTGTAGAAAAAAATTCTGATTTAAAATCATTGTGGATGGAAGTAGGTCTTACCCTTTGTCGGCTATATGGCTCTGCATCATAAACTTCAATTTCAAAAGAATCTTTAGCTACAGGTTTAACAGCCTTGATTGTGGTATTCTGCTTTTCATATACTTTGTTTTCTACTTCTGGACATTCTACTATTTTAGCAAGAAAGTTTTTCTCAGCACTGGCACTGCAAAGTTTCATCATATTGTTACCATCTGCTTCAGTAGAAGTTGTTTTTGTATCAACATGTTTTTGATCCCAGACATTTTTATCCAATTCACTTTTAACCTTTACTTCTTCTTTGTCTATTTGTCTGAGTCTGTTCATTGACGGAACTTCTAAATTTAAACCAAAATCTAAAGGACTTTCGTTAACATTTTCAAAGTCACTTGAATCTGTAGATACTGTACTAAATCTCTCTAATTCTTCATCAAGACTAAGTCTCTGCTGTTTGCTGCCTGTTTCAATATCTACTGCACCTTCTACTATAATGGTGGCAATTGTGTCTACATCATTAGACTCACTAGAAAGAGCGCTTAATTTTTCTAACTTCTCGTCATCTAGATTCAAACTTTCTGTGTCATTATTGGAATTCCCATCGAAGGTGAGTTTATACAGGCTAGACAAAGAGCTACTCGCAACACGTTTTCTAATGTCCATTTCAACACCTTCTGCCTCTAATTCCGATATATTTACTGTCTGTTCAGGATCCGAAATGACAGAAGAAGTATTATGGACAGATTCACCATCTTCTAATGAAGAAAGGGATAAAACTTTTATGATATTTTCTTGCAAAGTAGTTTCTAGTATTTCATTCCTTGCCACAGAATGCAATTCTCCTATATTTCTTTGCTGTGACTCGTCTTGGTCAACTTGATTAAGTTTCGTTTCTACAGTGACAATATCTTTTTCAACTAGCTTCTTTTCTACTTTTGAACTTTCTATAATAATACTTGGATTGCTTAATGGCTTAGAGTTAACATTTATATTTTCATTATGTTGAACTGTTGTTAAATTAGTTTTTTCTTGTTCCTTTATGTCTGATTTCATTGTATTATGTAAACCTTCAAAATTTCTGTTCACCTTTTCCGGCGTTAAAATGTACATCTTCAGTTCTTCTTTTAACTCTTTACTATCCTGTAAGTTTTGCAATTCAATGTTAGAATCTTGAATTGAATCTGTTAAATCAGAGCCTGTTTTGCAAGTCTTATCAAGACAGTCTTTCCTTTGTTTATTTATTTTGGCATAGATTGGCATTTGAGCTGAAGGTTTTGGTTTGGGTTGTAAAAAATGTTCAGATTTAGAATTGCATGGACCCTCATCAAAATCTTTTTTCTCATTTTCATGTTTTGTAATGTGAAACAACTTTTTTGGTTGTGTTAGTTTTATAGTCTTTGTCTCAAGGGAAGTGTATTGATTTGGTATGTGAGTTTTATCTTGAGAATGTTCAGACTTTTGATTTTCTTTAAAATATTTACTTTTTCTACCATGAATTTTTACCTCAGGTTGTTCTGAGTTTTGTGTTTCATTTCTGTTGGGAATCTCATCATAAATGTTATTTGAATTAATTTTCTTGTGTCTTAATTTTTCAACTTGAGATTTAACTTCATCAATTTCTGCATAAATGCCTTCAAATTTAGGTGGACCAATTTCATCATATTGACTTTTGGGAATTTCAGAATATACAATTTCTGCTGAGATACTTGGATTTACTTGTTCAGACTTGGTATTTTGAATATGTTTACTACCTGAACCTATATATTTTTCACTTTCAGCCCTACCATTTAACCCTCCAATACAATCATTATTTGCATCATAATCGCCATGTGAAGTAACTGATTCAAAAGATGAAGCAGGATAGGAAAATAAAAGTGTTTTTGTCCCCATTAAATTATCCCCCATACTTTTGCTCTTTCTGACCCTTTCATTTTTGTTAACTCTAGTGTAATTATCACCTTTACCACTATATGTTCTGTCAGTTTTATAGGCTTGGTTAGTTTGATTAGTCTTACTACTGTTACCAACCTCGTGATCATAAGATCGGTCATGATCATCGTCATGGTGATCATCTCTATGGCGTTTTTCTCTTTGATGCTCATCTCTACGTTCATCATCACTATGGTCATCTCTATGACGATGAGCTTCTTCTCTGTGATGTTCTTCTTCATGCTGCTCGTGTTCCTTCTTTGCCTGCATTAAAGCAGCCAGAGGTGTGGCTACAGCATGAATTTTCTCCATACGGCTCTTCCTATCGGGGACATCATCAAATGAGTCATTTAGCGAGCGTCTATCAAGAGAAGCACTATCCTCAACAGAGGATGGACCTCGAGGAGAGGGTTTAGGCTTTCCTGGTTTTGGTGCTACTGGAGGAGCATGTTTAGGTTCAGGCGGTGTTCTTGTAGGCTCTGGAGGAGGTTCTTTTCTCGGTTCATGAGGCGGAAGCTTGGTCTGTGGTGGGGCTCGTCTAAGCTCATCTCTTCTATGCTGTCTCTCTGCAGACAAAAACATTTAAGCATTTTTAATCAAAATTTACTTTGAGCAATATTATTGGCTAAACAACTTTTAAAAGGAATTAAGAAAATCAGAAGGGATAACATAAATACAGTTTATCATACAGCTTTTGCTGTACACATTCAATATATACTTGCGCCTTCCAGAATTTAATAAATAAATGTCATCCCCGCCACCACACCAATCATTGAAAACTGTTGCAGATGAAAAATCACAGTTATTATGCCCTAACCTTTCATTAAATAAAATCAATTGATTTATCTATGTTTCAGAGTAAGGTTTCATCATTCAGAGGCCATTACATTAAATGTTTCACAATCAAAGCAATCAGATATCCAGATGTGTGGTAAAATTTAATTTTTTGTGAAGAAAAAAAATCAATATTGATTATGCAAATATTCAAATGGTCTCATACTTTTTAAATTTGCTTTAAGTTTATTTTAAATATAAGATGATGCTAATAATAAAATATACAATAATGTACTATAAATTTAGACTCAAGCCTTATTTCTTTTGTTTCAAATTAAGATAATTACTTTTCCCTTAAAACCGAGATTATTACATAATTCCTGAGATAGATTATTACATAATTCCTGACAGATTATTACATTATTCCTGACATAGATTATTACATTATTCCTGACATAGATTATTACATGATGTAATTCTTATTTGATATTATTTTACAGACTTGAAAAGGTTGCATCTGGGTTTTCATTTTCAGAAAATTCCTGCATGAGTTTTTTTTAAGATGCAAAAGATATCTGAGAAAAATTTAGTAGAACTAGAAATGTGTCCATAGGACACGGATGCCCCCACACGCCACTGTTCTGTCAATCTTATGACTCTAGGTCAAATATTTTTTGGACTACATGTGCCACAAGTTGAAAACTAAAAATCAACAAAGGGCCATAATTCTGTTAAATTTGGTCGCAGCAAAAAATTCCTTCCTTTACTACCATCTACACATTAAGGTTGTTAATCCCTGGAAGTTTAAGCAAAATCTGCCATCCGGTTTAAGAGGAGTTGCATTCACAAAATTTAACATAGTATATAATTAAAAAATCAAAAAAGGGCCATAATTCTGTTAAATTTAGTTGCAGCAACAATTCCTTTCTTCGTTACCATCTACACATTAAGGTTGTTCATTCCTGGAAGTTTAAGCAAAATCTGCTATCCGGTTTAAGAGGAGTTGCATTCACAAAATTTCTACATAGTATATAGTGAAAAAATCAACAAAGGGCCATAAATCTGTAAAATTTGGTCGCAGCGAAAATTCCTTCCTTTACTACCATCTACACCTGAAGGTTGTTCATCCCTGTAAGTTTAAGCAAAATCTGCCATCCGGTTTAAGAGGAGTTGCGTTCACAAAATTTCTACATAGTATATAGTGAAAAAATCAACAAAGGGCCATAATTCTGTTAAAATTGGTCGCAGCATAAAATCCTTCCTTTACTACCATCTACACATGAAGGTTGTTCATCCCTGTAAGTTTAAGCAAATTCTGCCATCCAGTTTAAGAGGAGTTGCGTTCACAAAATTTCTACATAGTATCTAGTGAAAAAATCAACAAAGGGCCATAATTCTGTTAAATTTGGTCGCAGCAAAAATTCCTTCCTTTACTACCATCTACACATTAAGGTTGTTCATCCCTGTAAGTTTAAGCAAAATCTGCCATCCGGTTTAAGAGGAGTTGCGTTCACAAGATTTTGGGACGTACGGACGGACTGACGGACGGACTGACGGACGGACGGACAAGTGCAACGCTATATGCTCCCACATTGTGGGGGCATAAAAATGCACATAAGACAGGTTAGCAAAGATTAAATGTGGCATCAATGGTCAAGGGGTTATGGTCATTGACCTCAAACCACTTGCCCCTCACTGCTATGTATTCAAATCCTGCCAGGGACTTTAGATTCTTTCATATGAGGAAGTTATCCAGCAAAATGAGATTTCAAATAATATTTACATTTGATGTTTATTATTATGTAAATCATAAATACCTTCATCTCTTTTCCTCATGTTATTTGTACGTCCACCAAAAGTTCCACGTTTACTCAGGACTCTGTCGAAAAATGGAGACTCACGATTCTCTTCTGCCACAACTTGTCGAGTTTGGAACTGTGTTCTACCAGAGTACCTGAACCTGGAACCAAACCTAGGCAAAAAGCTAACACTCTTCTGATTTTCTGGTTCCCTGAACCTGTAATAGATAGCCGTTGTTTTCAACGCAAAAACCAAAAATAACAACAAAAAGTTCTTGATGACTGAAAATCACTAATATCAAAACAAAGATTAAGATCAAACAAGAGGGCCATGATGGCCCTGAGGTCGCTCACCTGTATATAGGCCCCCCCAACCCCCACCCCAAACGTTGCAGGGCCAATTTAACCCAAGGGCTTTTATTTGCACAAACTTGGTAGACACCCATAAGAAGATGTTTCATGCTAAACATCTAAGCTCTAGCTCATTGGGCTTTTTAAAAGAAGATTTTTATTAAGTTTTTACTAAATACTATATTGACCCCAGGGCTTTTATTTGAACAAACTTGGTAGACACTTATTAGAACATGTTTCATGCTAAATATCTTAGCTCTAACTCTTTTGGTTTTTTAAAAGAAGATTTTTTAAGTTTTTACTAAATGCACATAGGGAAAATCAATGACCCCTGGGGCGGGGCCAGTTTTGACCCCAGGGCTTTTATTTGAACAAACTTGGTAGACACCTATTAGAACATGTTTGATGCTCAATATCTTAGCCATAGCTCTTTGAGTTCTTTAAAAGAAGATTTTTTAAGTTTTTAATATATGCATATAGGGAAAATCAATGACCCCACGGGGCTGGGCCAATTTTGACCCCAGGGCTTTTATTTGAACAAACTTGGTAGACACCCATTAGAACATGTTTCATGCTAAATATCTTAGCTCTAGCTCTTTGGGTTCTTTAAAAGAAGATTTTTTAATTTTTTACTATATGCATAAAGGGAAAATCAATGACCCCCCCAGGGCGGGGCCAATTTTGACCCCAGGGCTTTTATTTGAACAAACTTGGTAGACACTCACTAGAAGGTGTTTCATGCCAAATATCTAAGCTCTAGCTCTTATGGTTTTTTAAAAGAAGATATTTAAAGTTTTTTTCTTTCGGTTGCCATGGCAACCAGAGTTCTGCATGGAATTAAATTCTTTGAACAATTTTTAAAGGTGACCACCAAAGGAACATTCCTGTGAAGTTTGGATGAAATTGGCTTAGTGGTTTATGAGGAGATGTCATTTAAAGTAAAAGTTTACGGACGGACGACAGACGCCGGACGGACGCTGGACAAAAAGCGATCACAAAAGCTCACCCTGTCACTTTGTGACAGGTGAGCTAAAAATGAATACGCTTGATTGCTTTTTAACACGCAGAGACAATGTAATTGTCATATGGTGACTATCCAGCTTGACTTCTGGAGGAAGACCTTAAAGGTGCTCCTTTTGTGTAATATCTAAGGCACGAGCAAGCACCTAAGTACAACTATGGATCTTTCATCAATTAGCTGGTAAGCTTTCTATGTATCAAAATCATAAGTCCCTGTGGTAATTGGGACCCACAGCCGTAAGGGGCAAGTGAATCTAAAACAGTAAACTTAACCTCTTGGCCACCAACAAGCACAAGCTTCAATATTAAGTGTAATATAAACTTATGAATGCTGAAGCATAGAAAATTCAAGCTCTTTAAATTTGATTGGCAGACACTTTCCTCCTTAGTATAATATTCAACTTGCCAAATTAAAAAAAATGTCAGAAATGAATGCATTATAAAAAGAGCTGCCATATGATAACATCTATCTAGATCTTTTGTCTATCAGATCTAGATCTTTTGCTTGCTTATCAGACTGGATTTTCTAGTGTTGCATCAGTTCTTTAAAATGACATCATTACACGGGCTTTATAAATGAGGTGCTTGCTTCAAATGTCATTCAGCCACAAGATTTGTTGTAACTGAGCAGAACCTCATTTCAACCTTATAACAGTGACCCTATTGATATTTAGCAGCCTTGTTACTGCCTTACACAGTTAACACCTGGGTCTGAGTTTCCAACCTTTACCAGCAGTCTATTTAACAGTCTAATAATCTAAGTATATTCCCTACCTGAAGAATGAATGATGTTCAACACTGATCTTCCACAATCTCTTGGCAAACTTTACATTGGCAAGTTTAAATCCGATTAAACTAGCAAACTCTTCAAACTGAAAGTAAAGTCAATGAATATTACTATAAAGGTACAGAACAAGCATGATAGCCAGTGCACCAACAAAGATTTTTATATAATATACAACCTTTCAGGGAACGGTTTCTTTGGTGCAGTGGTCTCTAGGACTATGTGTTTATTTGCTTGTAAACACATTCGAAACTGCTTTCCAAATGCATAAAGCATCTTTTTAATACAAATTTGAAGATAAGCAATAGTTATTTGTCTGCCCTTTTTGACATTTGAATTCATTAGTGAACATTAGCCATAATTCAGATGTCTGCATCTAAAAAAGACATGAAAGCTTTGTCTCTGTTTCCTAGTCTTATAAAATTAATTTCAAAGACCACAGTTTCAACTTCCAACAGCTGAATTTAATACTTCTTATATATCACTAATCTTTGCTGACAAATATCAAACATTTTGGGGATGAGTTCCACAATTTTTTTTTTTAATCATGAATGGGTTACAGTGAAAGTAATCACTTTTTCATTATCCCTCATGTACAGACTCAATCAAACTGAGTCTGCAATTTTCATGTAATTTTGTTGTTTAAAATGCTTCAGAGGATCACTCTTTTTCCAGATTTTTTAAAAATGCTCTTAAGTTATCAACCCTTTTATAATCAATATAGACTTCTTAATCATTGAAAAAAATGAAGAATAAAAAAAGGGCTGAGAATTTACCTCTCCAGGACGAATCTTGATGTAATATTTATTACGTCTGTAAGATATTTTTAGCACTTTAGGCCAAACAAATCGGTTGATTTGCTGCTTGTCCTTATATACAATGAGTCCACTTGCACAAACACCGAGTTGAATGTCTCGGCCTTCAGCATCCTGCAATGTACACAACATTCTTAAATAAACAACTTGACTGATTGTGTTAAATTTCCATGTTTATCTAATGGGAACCATAGGTTGTTTTTTTTCAGTTTGACTGTGTTCAAATTTCATGTTTATCTAAAGGGAACCATTGTTGTTGTTTTTTTCTGTCTGTGTTTAATTTTCATCTTTATCTAATTGGGAATCATTGGTTATTTCAGTTTGACTGTGTTTAATTTTCATGTTTATCTAATTAGAACCATTGGTTTTTTTCACGTTGATTGTCTTTAATTTTCATGTTTATCTAATGGGAACCATTGAGTTTTTTTCCCAGTAAGAGTGTGGACAGAATACACTGCTATCTGACCACTATAAAATACTACAATTAAAGACTACATAATGTCACATTAGTTGCAATTTCACAATTCAAACAAAAAAACATTTGCATGACAGGGAAAAAGAATATTTTCAAGCTGTTCCACATTTCACTTTTGTTTTGTAACATTTCAATATAAATTCATTTTTAGAAAGTTAGACATTCCACAGTTTTTTTAATTAAGGCTAAATTCTCTCATCTCAAAGCACTTTATATTGAAATTCAGTCTGCTTTGATAAAATATGATAATTACCAGTAAAACTTGTCATTAAGATATTTTTAACCCCTAAACCAGTTTAAACCCAACATGATTTTTCTTTCCCATCAGTATAGAGCCTGGCCACCTACACTCTTGTGCCTGGCCACCCTACAGCCTGATACTGATGGAAGCTCAAGATTTTTTTAATTTTGTTAATGATACCCCTAAATTTCAAAGCAGGACATGTCCATTAGTACACAAAATCAGCAGGTTAAGAGTTAGAATAATTTTGACACTGACCTTTGCAGGATGTAGCTCCACCCCAAACATTGCCAACTTCTTAGCATTCTCTAGAAAATGTAGCTCAGCTTCTTCTGGTGTTTCTCCCCTACAAAATGCACCAAATGTTAGTTACGGTTTTTGTTTAGGCCATTTTGTATTTTTCCTACCTTCTTTTGTGGGAGAAAACCTTCATGTGCACCATTTAAACCACCAAAGATTACCACCAGAGGGCACTACCAGAGAGCTCCAGCAGAGCACAACATAAGAGGGTAACACCAGAGGTCATCACAAGAGGAACTTAAATCTTTTTCAATTCAGTCACATAGCTATCATACATTAATTAATTTAATATTCTGAAAGGGATTAGAATTTAAATATTCCAAGAGCTGTTAATTTAGAAAGGGCCATAATTCTTTTAAAATTGGTGTTAAGTTATGGACCTCAGATGGTGAAATGGTAATATGCTCTCAAATAAGTGTGTGAAGTTTCAACCCATTCCTTATGGCATTTTTGGAGATACTAACTTGCAACCCCCTCAAATTAACCAAAGTTTGATGGCGGTGACAATGCCTTGGTGAGTACATGTACATTAGTTTTCCCTATTCTTTGAATAGGCAAGCTAAAAAATTGGCAAGTGATTCCAAGACAGAAATTTTTAGCTTGACCTTTTTATACCTTAAATGAGACCTCTCATCTCATTAACTGAGTAATAAAAGATATTACGATAAAGGGGATTAAGCTTTATTTTTCACCAAAAATGACTTACAGTAATTTCTCTTTCATTATTCCTTTAATCATAAGCCTACTAGTAGCAACTGATTGCATCCATGTGACCAGGGCAGACCAAGATCAGTGGGCATAAATAATGAAGGTTTGCACAGTTTGCTATTCAGTCAGTACATATCTTCAAAAGTTTTCCTATTATTTGATTTTGTTTTGTTTGATTGATTTGGTTTTACGTCACACCAACATGGCGACATTCCAGCTTTACTGGTGGAAAAAGACGTCAGGTGACCTTCTGTGCATTATTTCAGGCTTGAACGGGCACCTGAGTAGAACCTGACCGACGTTCTGTAAGCTAGCTGGATAGCTTCCCTATTATTTGATGAATGAGTTATGTTCAGATTGAAACACAGAGTTAGATGTGTTCTTGCACTTAGTGCAAATAGATACTTTAATGGCATGGGCTCAATTTCTAGATAAATGTATTAAACTTTAGTAAAAGTGAAAACTATGAAATTCAAATGTTTACATTTCAGAGTAAGACATGATTGTATACTTTTCTCAACATTGTGAAAATAAACTATAATCCGAATTATTGCTATATAATTTGATATAAGATAATATTTGTTGTTATTTTCTTTCATCTTTTTTTTCTTTTTTTTAAATTGGTATTTTGCAATATCTGGTATCTAAATATATACACTTAACCTGATAAAACTGGAAGTTTTTGCAACCAGTTTAAAGTGCCAGCCTTGAAAATCTCTTTGAAATCTGGCCAAGCGTTTTTTTTTTATTAACTATTGACTAACAAAACCTAAATTCTCATTTTGATATCCCTAAAACTGATAATGGACAGTTCCATAAAGAGAAGCTGGAAGAGTCCATTTACGAAATTTAGCAGGTTAAGGGTACAGAATAAATGGGACTTGTTGCTTACTTGTGCTGCCTGTGAAGCTCGGCGATCTTAATGAGGAGTTCTTTGTCTTGATGTGGGGCGAACTGTATATCCTTGAGGTATTTATAGCCACTGCCAAACTCCTCCGTATCATAGTCGCCAAGCTCCGACTGGGCTGTGTATGAGCCAAGCAGTGTGTATGTCACAAATGAACACGGCAATCTGAAAGTAAACATTGTTTCTTCATATTTATAAAACATCCACTTTTGTGTGTACATTATTTTTTTTTCAAAAAAAAAAAAAGAAAAAGGAAAAGATGTGCACACCTTCAGTTATTGAAATAATGACAGCTATTAATGAAACCTGAAACCAAAATCCAGTGGTAAAAATTAGAGCTTTGTATGTGCCTTGTAATTAATGCTGTGCTACTGCTAAAGCAAAGGTATCTTATTTCTTACGAAATTATGGTGCCACAGTTTTCTTTTTCCATAATAATCCTTAATTCCTTATTACTAACTATTTAGTGTAACAGCTTACCCATTATTTAAATTTCACATACAACCTGAGAAGCAACAAGAAACTTTGAAAATAATAATTTGAGACCACTATAACATGTATAACTTTAAGAGATTATAGTTCTCCTGTATTAGTGTATACTTGGTTGTTGCCATGGATATATATACATCACATTATGTGTTGTTATTTTTCTCCTGATTTCACTTCTCTTTCTAGTTATTTATCAACAAAATCAAGAAGTTTGATTGTATGCTCCCTAAAATATTTGGTATGTGCACCTAATTTCATTATCATCAACCATTCAGGATATTATGATGGTCACTGAAAAGGAATTTCCTTAAAAGAACATTGTGAAGTATTTGCAAGGAATTTCCATATCAGGTCAAAGCTACACAAAAAAATAACACCTATCCCACCCCACCCTTGATTGCTCATAATGAATCTATCAACAGAAATAAACATTTGTCAAAATGATAAAAAGTAATAATCACATAATGCATAGGAAAAGTGACAGGAAATTGCCACAAAACTATGTCTTCTGCACATAATTTACAGTTGTTTGAAATCCTTTGAGACATAAAGAGGAGGAGAGTATACAAAAGACAATTATTTTATGCCTGCCCACCGACATTCACCAATCTCATAACTATGTTTTTCCACATTTAAAAAAAAAAAAAAAGACAAAAGTACAAGCTCCATTCAAGTTAAATGATCAATCTGACCATTATAATAATTCTTCAACATTGCTCATATGACTCGCGTAACTTTATAAAGCTCCACGTCAGAAATAATATTTAACAAGACTAATGTCAGCAGACATTGTTCTCCACTTTTCTCAGTGCTGTATAATTAAAAAAAAAAAAGCAACACAGAAAAGGGGGCTTAACACTGCAGATATGCTTATCAGCATTACCTGCCCTTGACAGTCAACTGAAGTGAATACCTGAAACAGATTTTAAGGCAAATATCCTTAGTCAAACTTATGAAATAATAAAGCAAAAAGGGCTTCCAGGATTATCTCCCATATACAGATTCATTTCACAAGTACTTCAGTGAATATCATTGATACTTTTAATTTTAAGTTTTTTTTAGAAATGTGCCTTAACAAAAAAGTTTACAAAGATATTCAAAGATAAAAAGGGGTCATAACTCAGAAAAAAAGTACATGCCCTTTAGAAATGCATTTAACTTCAAAAACAGAAAAACGTATTTGAGGTGATTAACTGACAGATTTTGAGAAATTGACCTTAGAAGAAAAATAGAAGGAAAAAACTGTTAAAAGAGGGGCATAACTTTGCAAGAGATTTTTAAGATTATCTGCTCTTTTGAAATGGTGTCCTTTTATGAAATAAACATGAATACCAAGTTTCAGAAGTGAATAGTTTCTGAGAAAATGGATGCTAACGAAAAGGTTAACCAATGCCTGGACGCCAACGAAAGGGTCATGACAATAGCTTCAAAATTTTTCTCTGAAAAGTGCAGCTAATAATATAATATATAAAACATAATAAGAGTACTAGCTGCTTTAACATAAAAGTACATTTACACTCTGTTACTATAGCAATATAATTTATAACTCATTCATTTCCATTTTATCTCTTATAATCTTGTAATAACATTAATACATCTATATAAATCATGGAACTTCTTATTACTTTCTTTAAATAACAGACTAAGATTCACTGCTTTTCAAATAAAATTTAAAAATGCTTATTAATCTATAATTCATACCACATTTGTATTTAGTTATAGCCATATTAGCAATGGAAATGTTAAAAATCCTGACAACTATATATATATTTCTTTTGTACTACTTGAATAATGACACATTTATCCTTATTTGAAAGATTTTTTATTACAAATTTAAACTTTAAAATATGAAAAAGATATCTTACAGACTGAAATCATCACAGATCTTTCATAAAAAGATAACATGTTATTTTAATTAAGTATCTAGTTTCAGTAATGAAAAAAATATTTTTTTATGGTACTTGAAGAGTTTCAGGAATGGAGTGCAATGATAGAAAATTTGGAATTTAAAAATCTTAGAAAACCTGACAGGTATATAATTCAACACCTTGTCAAATATGTCAAATAAGAAACAGAGACCTCCATACCTCCACATTTCACTCTTTTGTCAGTCTACTGATGCAGTCAGCATAACAAAATGATAGTCACCGGGATGGATGGACAAGGACAGCAAATATATATGCAACCCCCCATTAAGTTGGGGAACAAAAACATTGTGTCTAGTTTCACATTTATTTCACAATTGCAATACAATCTTGCCAACCAACATTTCTTGTTTCTTTGCACTCTTAGTTCATTAAAACATAAATTCAACAGAGATAGTATGTTTTTCATTATACACCCACCTTTCATTCACTATATCTCTCCTAATCTGTAGGCACAACTGGTATCGGGTTAAATCCTCAGCCAGCTGTGATGGATCTGCCGGGTAGAACTTCACTTCAAAGTGAAAATCCCAGTTCTGACCTGAAATACAAAATAATCTCTTTTTAATCACTTACTACATTGCTTTTATGTAAGGGACATGCCTTCAGCCTAGGGGAAATCAAACATTTAAGTGGTTATGATTTTTTAACATGGAATCATTTACTCTACATTTACTATTGGTTCAAATCCCTTTCAGGGAAAAAATTTAAGTAAAGAACACCAGTGCCTTAAAAAATGAACAACCAAAGCCGTCCTCCACTCAAAACCAAACAACATGCTTGTTTAAAGCTTAAAATCTTTTTAAACCACCCATTGCTAATTAAAAAGAATTTAGTAACAAAATAGTGAAATCGTCCAGAGATAATTGAAATGCGATAATGACACTGAAAGAGTTATATAACTTGTTGTTTTGCAGCCCTGGTGTTCAACAGAATTAAAGTCTGGGGGCTTGAAGGGGGGCGGCAGCCCCCCTCATTGCCAAGAAAATTTTGCACCTGTGATAAGCTAAAAATGGCCTTGGGCCGATCGTAAGGTAACGTGTAACCAACGCTGAATAGCTTTTTACTCTATCTCAATCCATTGAGAAGTTGCAGCACTCTGAAATCAGTTTTGATGGAAAAAACAATGCAAAATAGTGTTTTTTGGCAATTTTGAGACGTCCCCAATGTTACAGGAAATTAAAAATTTAGTATGCTGTTACAGAGGCTATGTTCCAGTCAACATGCTAAGTTTCATCAGTATTGAAGCATTTTTCATAGTTTCATAACAGTTCAAACTTGTAACAGGAGGCTTTTGAATGAAAACGGCCATTTTTCACAATATGCTCATGAAGGAAAGGGTTAAACCTACTACACGATGAAGGAGGGGTTTTAAACCTACTACATGTGAGATGAGGGGTTTTAAACCTACTACATGAGAGATGAGGTGTTTTAAACCTACTACATGAGAGATGAGGGGTTTTAAACCTACTACATGAGAGATGAGGAGTTTTAAACCTACTACATGAGAGATGATGGGTTTTAAACCTACTACATGAGAGATGAGGGGTTTTAAACCTACTACATGTGAGATGAGGGGTTTTAAATCTACTACATGAGAGATGAGGGGTTTTAAACCTACTATATGTGAGATGATGGGTTTTAAACCTACTACATGTGAGATGAGGGGTTTTAAACTTACTACATGAGAGATGATGGGTTTTATACCTACTACATGAGAGATGACTGGTTTTAAACCTACTACATGATGAGGGAGGGGTTTTAAACCTATGGTACAACCTAAGCGAGTAGGAGGTTAAAATCTACAACACAAAGTGGGAGAAGTTTTAAACCTATCATTGTGAGAAGAAAAAAGTGTTTGAGGCCTACAGCAAAAGTTAAGTGGTAATAGAGAGCAAAAACATGAAGGTTGAGTGAACATTACCTACATCAGGAGAGAGAAAGAAGTTCAAATTTGATCTTTAACCTTTTGAGAGGGGAAGTGGAGGGGGATTATTTAAAATAAATGAGAATGAAGTGGTGATGAATAACAAGTGCTGTTGGAAGGACAGCATGCTCAATTATTCTTAGTGCTTGATAGTAAAAGAGCCTTGATAATGTAAATTTTTCTAAGTTCACAAAAGGGCCAATCCATGTTACAGTTATAGGTCTTGAAGAGAGTCCTATTATGCTCTCAAGGAAGTGTATAAATTTTCAACTAAAGATGTCAATGGAATATGAAATTATCTGAGGTGGTATGCAAACTTTCGAAGAAGGGGCATAATTTTGTCAAAATGCTTGATACAGTTACTTCCTCCTGTCTACAGGTCATGGACATATGTCAATGAACTTTGAAAATATTTAAGGTGGTACACAAACTTAAACAATATATAAGTGGTTACACCGACACTTGGGTACCTTTTTGAGGATATTCTTATCTAATAGTCAAAGTATTAACAGAAACAAAACCCACAACATCACACCTAAATTTGCATATTAGAGCTAATATAAATGGGGTAAAACATAAACATGTACGATTATTTTTACCAATAAAAGATTATGTCACGTGACAAAGTTACCACATCTGTGACAATATTGACATTAGTGTATGGATTATCTATAATCCTTTACCATATCATTTATTCACTTATCTAGACAACATTCAGGCTTAAATCTGTCAACTTACCTTTTAATTGTTTAGCAATCTTCTTATCATTGTTCAACCAGAACTGAAAATACAGATAAAATATTGTAAATTCATTTAATTTCATGGGGACAAAATTGTGGATTGCACTATGAAAACCACGAAAATTAGTGTCCAATGAAAAATGGATTTTGCACTAGCATTCAGTTGCTTGATGAGTATTCTGCAAAAACTATGCAGTGGAATTTATGTTTTACCCTATTAGCTGCCTTCACTTCAAATTTGAGTACACAACTTATTGATAACATAATTTCAAGTACATTAATCAATAATTGTTTGTCAGTTTTTACATACGTAAGTATTCATACAATAAATATGCTGTCAAAAATAAACACACACTTGATAACTGAAATTTATTATTTATAGTTTTTTTTCTCTCTAAACATATCAAAATTGAAAACACTTAACCATGTTTTTATATATCAGAAACATGTTCCAATTGGGGCCTTAGTATGTAAGCGTTTTTAACATTTTTTTGAAAATAATATATTGCCATATAAATCAATTGTATCATGAACGTATCTAAAAACGTATCACAACTTATGTCTAAAAGCTCTAAAATCTTATCTCTTAATGTGGCAATAACTGACCATTACCTCCTTTTAATGTCATGTTACAGCAATGATTATGAACATGCCAACAAATAATTTGTGTATTTAACTTTATCTGTTAATTGTAGACTAAAAGTGGCAAACCTTTCAAATGACTCATTTGCCATATACATGGACTATGCTTTGCAACTTTAGCTCTGTGTTGGCAACTGGTATTATGGACTAGTGAATTAGTATTTTGTATGGAAGTCAAAATACTACTTTGTTTACATTTTGCCACCTATGTGACAGATAACTGCAAGTTCAGCTCTACTTTCTTCAGTTGTCAAAAATCTAACATGACTACATCCAGTATTCAAACACTATTAAACAAATGTTTGACATTTCTAAAGAATTAAAAAACTAGAAATGTGTCATCATGCCACGGATGCCCCCGCATGCAGCCAAAATTTCAGATGTTATAATATTTAGTTCCAAATTTGTTTTCACAAATTATTTTTTTTATTTGCAGTTCAAAGCCCTTAAAACTTTTCAATGTTAACACAAAACATTTTCATACAATGTTCAAAACACTGAAATTATTCAGTCTTAACCTTTTGAAAATAGCATATTTCATATTTGTAGCCAAAATAATGGCTACATACATTTCCACAAAAGTATGAGTGCTGAAACTGAAAGTTCAAAATTTTTCCAACATTCAAGAAAGATAAGTTTGTCCAAAATCATTGAACCACGACCAAATTCAAACTTAAACTGCTTATTCCTAAGATGTATCTATATTATTTTCAAAGTGAAAGGGACATTACTCTGCCAAAAAATCATCAAACCATGACCAAATTCCAACTTGACCTGCCCATTCCTTTGACATATCCATATGTCAAATTTGAGTTGAATGTGTAACACTGTTGGGTAGATAATGAACAGAAACTGTAAATTTCATATTATTTTCAAAGTAAAAGGGGCATTACTCTGCCAAAAATCATTGAACCATGACCAAATTCTAACTTGGCCTGGGCATTCCAAAACCATATCCATATGTCAAATTTGAGTTGAATGTGTTGTACTGTTGGGGAGATAATAAACAGAAACTGAAAATTTCATATTATTTTCAAAGAGAAAGGGGCAATAACTCTGCCAAAAATCATTGAACCACGACCATATTTGAACTTGACCTGCCCATTCCTTTGATGTATCCATATGTCAAGTTTGAGTTAAATGTGTTGTACCATTGGGGAGATAATGAATGGAAACTGAAAATTTCATATTATTTTCAAAGTGAAAGGGGCATAACTCTGCCCAAAAATCATTGAACCACGACCATATTTGAACTTGACCTGCCCATTCCTTTGATGTATCCATATGTCAAGTTTGAGTTGAATGTGTTGTACCATTGGGGAGATAATGAATGGAAACTGAAAATTTCATATTATTTTCAAAGTGAAAGGGGCAATAACTCTGCCAAAAATCATCGAACCATGACCAAATTCGAACTTGACCTGTATTTTCTCAAGACATATCCATATGTCAAATTTGAGTTGAATGTGTTCCACCTTTGGGGAGATAATGAACGGAAACTGAAAATTTCATATTATTTTCAAAGTAAAAGGGGCATAACTCTGCCAAAAATCATCGAACCATGACCAAATTTGAACTTGACCTGTATTTTTCTCATGACATATCCATATGTCAAGTTTGAGTTGAATGTGTTGTATCGTTGGGGAGATAATGAACGGAAACTGAAAATTTCATATTATTTTAAAGTAAAAGGGGCATAACTCTGCCAAAAATCATCGAACCATGACCAAATTCGAACTTGACCTGTATTTTCTCATGACATATCCATATGTCAAATTTGAGTTGAATGTGTGCAACCGTTACTAAGATAATGAACGGAAACTGATGATGACGGAATGATAGAATGACGGAAGGACGGAATGACGGAAGGACGGAAGGACGGAACAGGGTAACACTATATGCCCCGGCCATTACATGGCGGGGGCATAAAAAAAGATTTCTGAGGCATAATGTGCCTTTAAACTTACCGGTATTAAAGTACAAAAGCAAGTTATGGTAAGGACATAATATTTACAAGCCATATCTCTAAGGGCCACATACTTGACCTACTCATAGGGCATTAATTTCTCTTGATCAAGGTCGACCATCGGCTTATATTCGCCTGTTATCAATATCAGTTGGGTAGCCCTATCTTAAGCTGGAATTTTACAATTATTATGCAGTTATTTTAATATTTGCTTTGTCAAAAGAATCATTCAAATTATTACAAACTACTCAAAAATTTCCAGTCAGTGGCATTTTCTCTTGGACCCGAATTTAAAATTTATTATTTTCATGAAACAGACATCATAATACTTTAAATTCATGTCCTAAAATACAGAGCTTCAACATTTCATCAAAAATCTAAAATTTGTTTTATAAAATCTAAAATTTGCATAACTAGTACATAAATCTGCACTAAAAATGTGCGTTTATCTCACCAGGTAAAGGAAGTATGAAAATTCGTCATGCATTTAATAAACAAGTGGAGAAATAATCTTGCCAATAATCATAAAATATGGTGAGAATGATTTAAGATACCTTGCCACACTGGTGATATTTATAATGCATCATTTTTTCCCTAATTAAATTTAATGGGATAGTCAATTACTTCCTTATGTACTTGCTTCAAATTGTTTAATTGTGGTCAAAGGGAGACAACCAAGTGCTAAATGTCTTATATGGAGTTGTCTATCTTTCAATCTGGACAATTTAAGGAAAATTTAAAAATTAAGAACTGACTGAACAGCTAACAGTCCAGACCATGATCATTAGTTGGTCCTTTTTTTACTATTTTAGTTTAAATTTGATACAAATTTGGCAAAAAATGCTACCTTAGCGTTTAAAATGCTAAGTTACAGCATTGAAAATACAAATGTATCTTAAATTATAATACACACCTTCTCTCCATTTACATAGTAATTTAATCCGAAATAATCCTTTTCCAGAATATTCAAATGTTCACACACACTGTCAAATAGAATCCAGCCCACTGCCCTTTTCTGCAAAATAAAAGAACCGGCATTAATTAAACTAGAGGATGCTTTTGTAAAAAAGCGCATGTCTCCCCCACTGCTGAGAATAACTGTGAATGGAAACAGGAATGGAAATGGAGATAAGATAATGTAAATACCCGGTAGTCACTTCAATGAAGGCTGTCTATGGATGGTTTCTATTGTTAAGGTTGTATGAGAAGATGCTTCCTAAACTGTTTGTTTTTAACCAGGTATTCAATTTTGAAAATCCTGGTTATTCAATCAGCGTATGGCAGGCGGGCGTCAAACGAAATTGCACTTGATGGTCATATCATATATAGTTTCACAAATGAAATTAAATAACTCTAGTTATCATCCGGAAATGAGAAAATGACCAATGGTCACTGTGACCTTAACCTTTGACCTACTGACTCCATAAACAAGAGGGATCATCTGCTCAATAAGACCAATCATCCTATGAAGTTTGAGGGTTGTAGGTCTAAAGGAACTCTAGTTATCATCCGGAAAGGAGAAATTAACCAACGGTCGCTGTGACCTTGACCTTTGACCTACTGACCATTAAAACAATAGGGATCATTTGATTAATAAGACCAATCATCCTATGAAGTTTGAGGGTTGTAGGTCAAAAGGAACTCTAGTTATCATCCAGAAATGAGAAATTGACCAACGGTCACTGTGACCTTGACCTTTGACCTACTGACCCCAAAAACAATAGGGATCATCTGCTCTATAAGACCAATCATCCTATGAAGTTTGAGGGCTGTAGGTCAAAAGGAACTCTAGTTATCATCCGGAAACGAGAAATTGACCAACGGTCACTGTGACCTTGACCTTTGAACTACTGACCCCAAAAACAATAGGGATCATCTGCTCAATAAGACCAATCATCCTATGAAGTTTGAGGTCTGTAGGTCTAAAGGAACTCTAGTTATCATCCGGAAACGAGAAATTGACCAACGGTCAGTGTGACCTTGACCTTTGACCTACTGACCCCAAAAACAATAGGGATCATCAGCTCTATAAGACCAATCATCCTATGAAGTTTGAGGGCTGTAGGTCAAAAGGAACTCTAGTTATCATCCGGAAATGAGAAATTGACCAACGGTCACTGTGACCTTGACCTTTGAACTACTGACCCCAAAAACAATAGGGATCATCTGCTCAATAAGACCATTCATCCTATGAAGTTTGAGAGCTGTAGGTCAAAAGGAACTCTAGTTATCGTCCGGAAACGAAGAATGGACGGACGGACTGACGGACGGACTGACGGACGGACTGACGGACAGGGCAAAAACAATATGTCTCCCCCCGAGGTGGGGGAGACATAATTAACAATATGAGACTTATAAAAGACTTAAAGATATACAATAATGCTCAAATTTTGTATTTTCAAATATTGATAATTGCTACACAGTCTCTTTATAAATATAGAACAAACATGTTTTGACTTCACACAAAGTCTATATATTGTGTTTTAAATCTACACACTTTAGGTGGAAACAATAAGAATATACATGTATAGTGTCATTAAAAGAAACTGGCAGTTTTTTTAAGAAAGGACCCGAACTTTACTTGACCCGTTATAGGATATGCAGCTTCCCACTCACAGTTTGCACGCTCAACTATTCTCAGTGTTTGACTGAGATAAAACCTGTGTAACTCAGTCAAAAGGTAACCTCAGCATTCATTAAAGTAATTATATCAGTATAGACTTCATATGGGAAAAAAACCTCCATAATATTTTGTGCTTTAACAATTTCAAGTATTATAACAGCAGTTTCCTCCCTTCCATATAAAATTCATATACACAATTACCAGGGCATCTGCACTTATCATTCTCAGGGCTTTTAAAGTGACATAATATGCCCAACAAGTGTTACTGTGTTTTTGGTGACAGTATTCTAAGGTAGAAGTCAAAAGAAGTTTACATTTTGTCATATTTGTTTTCAATTTCATATTCTACATGTAATGAATATTCAATAACTCACAATTGCACATGGAATTTTTTTTTATAAATATCCTTAAGAATGGATCAGTAATGGCTCAGCTGATAAAAAGAGTGGGGCAGTTTTTTAAAATATTTTTAGGCTGCTTTACATATTCATGTACATAATGTAAACTTATCATCAAGTTTAGTTCAACCGTCATAAAAATAGCCACATTTTTGAAATATATGCAGGTAGCTAACTGACACCTCAAACTGACAATGAAAAAATAAGCAAAATATGTCACTTTAATTTAATCAATACTGTATTGTATCACTTTTTGAAAGGGAAACCCTTACCTAATAGTGTGAATGGGTTGGGTACCTTAACCTTTAATGCATTTGTACTGTACCCCTCAGAGTATAAATCAAAAATTTTATCATTTAGCTGATAAGTGCAGGTTGTTGTTTTTTTGTCCTTATGCTGTTTTTTCCTGTACATGTATTATTTATGAATCAATAGTCTTGAAAGATCTTGAATCAGAATCTGTCTTAAACTCACGTTTTAAATAAACAAGTCAATATACCCTCTCAAATGCAGGTAAAACCTTACTATATTTACATAATCCCCTTCAACCCTTATGTTTATCAGATTTTATTGTCTTGTGTTAAAGCATTAACTTTATCGATTTTCAATGTATATTTAATCTAATTTAGAATCTAATATCTAATATCCAGACTATGAGTCATTGGAAAAAAGTAAGTAGTCTAACCTTTCTATTAAGACCAGTTATTGGAATGTAAATATACAAACCTTTCTATTAAGACCATTCATTGGAATATAAATATACAAACCTTTCTACTAAGACCAGTTATTGGAATGTTAATATACAAACCTTTCTATTAAGACCACTCATCGGAATGGAAAGTCACACATTATTTTCTATTAAGACCAGTTATTGAAATGGAAAAATCATAGATTATTTCCAGTTAAGACCAATTATAGGAATGTAAATATACAAACCTTTTTATTCAGACCACTCATTGAAATGGAAAGTCACACATTATTTTCTATTAAGACCAGTTATTGGAATGTCAATATGCAAACCTTTCTGTGAAGATGAGTTATTATGATGTAAATATGCATGTGACCAGGCAGTTATAATAATATGCAAACATTCCTATTAAGACCAGTTACTGGAATGTAAATATGCAAATCATATAGATTAAGACCAATTAAGTGTATGATGATTATAGGATAGTCAGACCTTTCTATTAAGTCCAGTTGCAGGGATCAAAATAATGAAACTTTTCTATTAAGACCAGTTGTAAGGAATGAAATTAATCTAACCTTTATTTTATCAAAAGCAGTTATGGGAATATTGAATAGCAAACCTTTCTGCTATAAGATCAGATTTTGGAAAGTAATTTTAAATGTCAAATCTTTCTATTAAGGTCATTTATAGTGATGAAAATTGCCACACCTGTCTCTATTATGACTATATCTGGGAATGAAAAGGACAAACCATAATATTAAGACCAGTTACAGTGGATCAATTTGTCATCAATTTTTTTTATCCTCAATACTCCAATTCCTGCAGAGGTAACATCAAGCTATTATACTACTAAATGGAGCTTCGTTAATTAAGGATAAACAGTTTAATGAAGTGTGCTCTGGAATGTGACTTCAGCATTCTGTAATTCTCTTCCTCAAGAGTATTAAATCAATATATGATTATATATAAACTGGTATATTAATTTAATATTATACATATCTTACATCTACACTGTGATTAAATGTGTCATCATCCAATAATTGCACACGGACAGGTACTTGTCTCGCTGAACGCACTTGCATAATCTTTTGAGACTCCCCCATATTTATAATTCATCTAAAAAAGACAACACATCAGTGTAAAACAAATAAATATGGTTGAAAACTGGAACATGGTAAAATGCTCAATCGATGACTCATAAATTTTACTAATTACGAGTTAAAAGACTAAATAAGCTGTATTGAAATATGATTTTAAAGCAAATAATTACGTTAACTGAAAGAATATTCAGAAGCAACATTCATTTCCTGATTTGACGTTATGTTTATTGTGTGACTTTTTTTTGTAAATCGTGAAATTTCACGTCAGCCTACCTGTTTACCAGGTGTGCTTTGTTTACAATTTTAACTATAATATTTTTCATCTAATAAACTCTTATGAAATAAATCAATAACTTATTGTGACTTACTCGAAATGTCTCTGACCGGCTAAAAGTTTCACGAAATCAAATTACACCATTTTGAATGGGGAAGCCGATGACCTAAATTTACCTGTATAATTTTGTGTATATTTCCCACGCGCCCACCAGGTGCGCTAGTATACTGTGACGTCACTGATTTCAGAGCACACAAGGTGTGTATAAACTCTGCGCTGCTCGCTGATCAGAATTTTTAAAAGAAAAAAAACTTCAAAAAAGGGAAATATATATGAACTTAACTCAATAAAATGTACTGGTATAATGTTAGAAACGTTTGTAAATGGTAACTAGTGTCAGGAAAAACTAGTTACCATTTACAATCAAAATAAAATTAACAGTTTGTATACATTTAGGCATACCGTGCGTCGAGAATTTAGTCTAAGCATTTACCGAACATATTTTGTGCCGTGCATTAGGCTATTTTTTTTCACATTATTGTAAATACATAAATAAATAAATAAAACATTATGAATTAAGGTGCTATTTGAGAAACACATTTTATTACATAATGTAAAGTGTCTTATAAACTTTGGATGGTTCTAATATTCTTAAAACCAAGATTGCAATGGTTCCAAGATACATGTACACCTTTTAGAAACTCCTTAATTTATTGTTTTCCCAGCTACATGACGTATATATATAGTCGAGCATCATTCTATCTATCAAAACTCCTTTATGCACTGCCACAGAGCACCAAATTTCAGACTCGATCGGTATTACAATTGACTTCTTTGTAATGGTCACAATTAATAAACCTTCTATAACTATAACTACATGTATAACATAGGATCAATTATCAAATTCTGCATGCTTGGTTAAGTTATAGCTACTTAATTAGTTGGCTGTAGTTGTGACTCAAAATATATTTTTGTCCCAGGTTGAAGCTGTACTTGATTTTATAGCTCTTTAAATAATGACATTTCCCTGAAAATATCTCCACATCAAACCTACGCGTGTGGTCAATGGAAAAAAAAATGTTCAAATTTTCTGTTAAATTGTCTCTTAAATTGTATCGGGATCAACTAGCTATAGTGACTTCTTTAGGTACATCATATACAACTGGACCGATCCCTTATTGCTTACTTTTCTCTCTCAAGACAATCAAAACGTTGAACTTTGTTTAAGCTTGTTAATTGTTATGTTTGTGATGTGAAAATATTTATCTAATATACGTCTGATACATGTACTTGTATGTAGCACATTCGGTCGAATTTACATAGCTGTGCAGATTTCTTGTAAAAAAAGTCTATAACACTTTTAACGGAACATGTTTTTCTAATATGTTTGTTTTTATTAAAATTATTTTCTTTTTACAAAAATACTTAAATTTGTTCCGACGAGCTCATCTAAACACGTCTCGCACACCAAGTAATATCGAATTCACTATTTTATTTTAATAATCAGTTTTAATTCGATTGTGTTGGAAGCTATAAGCGTACTGAAACACTCTCGAACCCGTTCCTGGAACCAACCAGTAATAAACAATGAGCGTAGTTTCTTACTCAAGGAAACAACGGCTTGTCATTGACGGGATTGAACCCACGCGGCCAGCAATCCATGAAGATTACCAGTCCGACGCGTAAACACTCGGCCATTCCGCCATGTCCAGTAAGCAGCATAGCCTGCACAGGGACATCTTAAAGGTTTAATGCAGGCTATAATTTTCTTTTTTCCAGAAAAGGGATTGCATACATGTATTTCATGTTCATAGACGGTCGGTGGCCGTATTCGGTCCGCCAAGAATTCGAAACGTTAAAAATCAAAATGAATTTCATATGCACCTTTTACAGGATGAAAAACAAGAAGTATCCCACTGCAATCTAGCGTATTGATTGTGTTCTTGTTTTTGTGCCATATACATGTATATGGATCGCTGACAAGATATATTTGATCCACTACATTCTATATAATCAATCTTCACACGACTGTTTTTTTACTTGTACATACATATTCAGCAATGACCTCTCTGTACTTGTTAGATAACTAAAAGAACACAAATATTCACTTATTCCCTCGTGTCAGGATAGTCCTTGTAAGCAACACGTAGATCTACTTTGATCTGCGTAGCGGCGGTGCACGAAAAAAACAAATGTGTGCAAATAGAGTAAAACAATATACAAATGTATCTCCTAACGTGTATGAAAACAAGGTTACCGATAATCGTAGATGGTTATTTCAAAAGATTTTTATTTCAATAATCAGTTTTAATTCGATTGTGTTGGAAGCTATAAGCGTACTGAAACACTCGAACCCGTTCCTGGAGCCAACCAGTACTAAACAATGAGCGTAATTTCTTACTCAATGAAACAACAGCTTGTCATTGACGGGATTGAACCCACGCGGCCAGCAATCCTTGAAGATTACCAGTCCGACGCGTAAACACTCGGCCATTCCGCCATGTCCAGTAAGCAGCACAGCCTGCACAGGGACATCTTAAAGGTTTAATGCAGGCTATAATTTTCTTTTTTCCAGAAAAGGGATTGAATACATATATTTCATGTTCATAGATGGTCGGTGGCCGTATTCGGTCCGCCAAGAATTCGAAACGTTAAAAATCAAAATGAATTTCATATGCACCTTTTACAGGATGAAAAATAAGAAGTATCCCACTGCAATCTAGCGTATTGATTGTGTTCTTGTTTTTGTGCCATATATATGGACCGCTGACAAGATATATTTGATCCACTACATTCTATCTAATCAATCTTCACGCGACTGTATTTTTACTTGTACATACATATTCAGCAATGACCTCTGCACTTGTTAGATAACTAAAAGAACACAAATATTCACTTATTCCCTCGTGTCAGGATAGTCCTTGTAAGCAACACGTAGATCTACTTTGATCTGCGTAGTGGCGGTGCACGAAAAAACAAATTTGTGCAAATAGAGTAAAACTATATATCTTCTAACATGTAGGAAAACAAGGTTACCGATAATCGTATGTGGTTATTTCAAAAGATTTTTATAAGTCATTGCTGAATATGTATGTACAAGTAAAAAATCAGTCGTGTGAAGATTGATTAGATAGAATGTAGTGGATCAAATATATCTTGTCAGCGATCCATATACATGTATATGGCACAAAAACAAGAACACAATCAATACGCTAGATTGCAGTGGGATACTTCTTATTTTTCATCCCGTAAAAGGTGCATAGGATTAAAATATTCGTTTTAATCGTCTTCCCATGTTTTAAAAAAAGATTTCACCACTAGTCATGTGATACAATTGCCATACTCTGCCAGTCACTGATGCAATTGCCAATCTCCATCAGTCACGCGATACATTTGCCAATCTGCTTACCGTGACAACTGTACTCTGTACATTGTATTTACAAGTAAACCGTCACACGATAGGCAGGTAAACTAATGCAATGTGATAAACGACTACTTTATAATTCTACCTAATTACTGGTTGACAAACTGGTGAAATAAATGCAGTGGTGAATATATGAACATACATGCAAAGTTTTGTGCATGTAAAACAGAAAATTCATGCGGAGATTTCTACAATTTGTATTCCATTTGCACTGATGTGTTTTACAATTATATAAGGAAATATTCCCATTTCACGTGACTTATAACCTCAAAAATAGTAAAAGAATGAACAAACAAGTACCCAAAACAACTTTAAAGTATTTAGTATTTTAGGAATTTTTCTTTCAAAATATATTTTTCTTTCATTTAACACAGTAATGTTAAGTTGGTTTTTTTTTTGGGGGGGGGGGGGGAGGCGGGGGGGGTGGTGGCAGGACCAAGACTGGACGAGCACCTTTGATCTATTTCACCATCAGTGAAACCCTCTTATAGTTACAATGCAATAGCCAACATTCAAGTCCATTGCAATCAAATATGTAGAATGTTAATGTCAAATGCGCTACAATAAATACATTGTTAGTCGGCACTAATTAAGACAATAAATTAATATATGAAAGGTGAGTGACTGAAACATTAGTAATAATGACCATAAATACCAAATATCTGAAGGGTCATGCTTGTTAAACTTTTGAACTAAGTTTCAAGTGAAAACATACTAGGAAAAAACAAACAAAAGAAAACCACACAAAAAATCCACCAAAAACAAACAAGAGGGTCATGATGACCCTGAATTGCTCACCAGAGTTAAATTACTAGTAAAGGTGTAAAGTTTTTAAAGCAAGAGTCAGTGATTAGGTCACATTGGTTTATCATTTTTTACGTTTAGCTGTTTGCTACATAATGCGAGATATCTAAGCTCTTGACACAAGAAGACTTATATGCATTTTACTATGTACATGTATAAGTTTTAAAATACAAATGTACCACAAAAATGTTACATTCCATATACGGTTTTTATCTAAATTCTGGATATTGTCTTTTCACAACTGAAGACTTAAATGTACCTTTCTATATAGGTCTATATAAACTAAGTGAGTCAATGGGTGGGGCCAATTTTGGCTGGGCTTTATTTATATATTTTCTGTAGAGGACCATAAGGTGATGCTACAAGCTAAATATCTAAGCATTGTCATTGTCATTTCTAAGCAAAAGATAATTAAGACATTTTTAATTTACAAGTTAGTATTAACTATATGACCCTCAGGGCAAAGCCATTTTTTACCCTAGGACAAGACTTCATATAACTTTGGTAAAGTCCACTAGGCAATGCTACATGTCCTGTCACAATAGAGGACATAAATGTTTTCCCTATATAAGTCTATATAAACTAAGTGACCCTAGGGCAGGGCCAATTTTGACCCTAGGGTCATGATTAATATAACTTTTGCAGAGGATGATAAGATGAGAAAGACCACTTGAAGAAAGGGAAAACTTGCAATTTCTGTCAAAAAGACCACTTGAAGAAAGGGACAACTTGCAATTTTTGTCGAAAAGACCACTTGAAGAAAGGGACAACTTGCAATTTCTGACAAAAAGACCACTTGAAGAAAGGGACAACTTGCAATATCTGTACAAAAAGACCACTTGTAGTAAGACAGCTTGCAATATCTGTACAAAAAGACCACTTGTAGTAATGACAGCTTGCAATATCTGTACAAAAAGACCACTTGTACTAACAGACAACTTGCAATTTCTGTTGTAGAGAGACAACTTGCAATATCTGTACAAAAAGACCACTTGTAGTAAGACAGCTTGCAATATCTGTACAAAAAAGACCACTCATAGTAAGACAGCTTGCATTCTCTGTACAAAAAGGCCACTTGCAGTAACAGACAGCCTGCAATATCTGTACAAAAAGACCATTTGTAGTAAGACAGCTTGCATTCTCTATACAAAAAAAATACTTGTAGTAGACAGCTTGCAATATCTGTACAAAAAGACCACTTGTAGTAACAGAGAGCCTGCAATATATGTACAAAAAGACCACTTGTAGTAAGACAGCTTGCAATATCTGTACAAAAAGACCATTTGTAGTAACAGACAGCCTGCAATATCTGTACAACAAGATTGCATTTGAGAAAATGCTATGCCACCGCATGGTTCAAATTTCATAGCTGTACATCAAAGGACAAGAAAGTAGGTCACTGTCCCCTTGGGCAAGGCATAATTTTGACCCAAGGGTTTAATTCAAAACAATCTTGATACAGGTCCGACAAACAACATTTCAAGTCAAATATCTAAGCTATAGCTTTCTCCCATTCAGAAAACATTTGTTTTATTTTCTGTTTTTACTTTGGCCCCAGGGCTATAATTTGAACAATCTTGCAAGAGGTTCACTACACAATGTTTCATGCAAAATATCTTAACTCTAGCCTTTGTAAATTTAGAGAAGATGATTTTTTAAGTTTTTACTATATACATATAAGGAAAACCTATGGCCACCGGGGGCGGGGCTAATTTTGACACAAGAGGCAAAATTTGAATAACTTTTGTAGATTACCTTTAGATGATATTATTTAACAAATATTAAAGCTCTAAGCCTTGTACCTTCAGACAATAAGATTTATTTATTTTTTACTATATGTATATATTGAAATCAATGACCCCAAGGGCGGGGGCAATTTTGACCCCAGGGCTATAATTTGAACAATCTTGCTAGAGGTTTACTACACAATGTTTCATGCAAAATATCTAACCTCTAGCATTTGTCAATTGCTAGAAGAATTTTTTTTGAAGTTTTTACTATAAGTTTTACTATATATACATATAAGGAAAACCAATGACCCCCGGGGCGGGGCCGATTTTGACCCCAGAGCTATAATTTGAACAATCTGGGTAGAGGTCTGCCAGACAATGCCATTTATGCAAAAATATATAAGCTCTAGGCCTTTTGGGTCTTTACAAGAAGGTGTTTTAAGTTTTTACTATATGTACATATAGTGAAAATCAATGACCCCGGGGCGGGGCCGATTTTGACCCAAGGGCTCTAATTTGAACAATCTTAGTAAGGGTCTACCAGACGATGCCTTATGCAAAATATCTAAGCTCTAGGCCTTTTTGGGTTTTACAAGAAGGTATTTTAAGTTTTTACCATATGTACATAGTGAAAAACCAATGACCCCCGGGGCGGGGCCAATTTTGACCCCAGGGCTATAATTTGAACAATCTTGTTAGAGGTCTACCAGACAATGCCTTATGCAAAATATCTAAGCTCTAGGCCTTTTGGGTCTTTACAAGAAGATTTTTTAAATTTATTCTTATAATTCCTTTTGGTTGCCATGGCAACCAGATTTCTGCATGGAATGAAATTCTTTGAACAACTTTGGAAGCCCTTCACCCAAGGAACAATCCTGCCAAGTTTGGTTGAAATTGGACTAGTGGTTTTTCACAAGAAGATTTTTTAAGTTCACTATATAATCTATATAACACACACACAAACACACACACAAACACACACACACACACACACACAGGTGAATCGCTATATGCCACCGCATCGCAGATGCTGCGGTGGCATAAAAAGACCATTTGTAGTAAGACAGCTTGCACTTTCAGTACAAAAGGGCCTGGGGTGGTACCAGTAGTTATCTGAGGAAGCCTCAGAGACCATAAAATTTGAAAATCTTCTCAGGCACTACAATTGAAGAATCAGAAGAAAGATATTAAAGAAATATAATTGAATTAAAAAAGTACTATTATTAGCCCAATTTGGGTTAAAAGCAATTAAACACTTTTTTTAAAAGTTATTTTACACAATAATAATGACTGTTCTGGGAACAAAGTAGTGAACAAATCATCAGAAATTTTGTACATAATTTATTGGTATAGACCTACATATTATGGCAAAGAAGTCTCAAAAGAATATTTACAGTCTAAATATGTCAACCGCCCACTAACCCCCCCCCCCCCCCCCCAAAAAAAATATTTTTTTCAAAAAAAAAATAAACTTACTATTGAGCCTTTTTTTAAAAAATTAAGTAAAACCTCTGCACTGCAACACCCTTTTGAAGACAAGGATTTTTGGCGCTCCAAAGAGGTGTTGCTGTACAGGGGTTCAATTTATTGTGAAGAAATATTACTGTTGTTTTAAGAGGAAATTGATCTCAGGAGGGCCATGTTACAGAGGTTATACTGTATTGACAATACATGAGTGATATAAAGGAAATACATGTATGCATACTAGATGGAAACAAAACACAACTGCAAGTTTTGGTCACACTTAAATCAATATATCCCAATTCAATTATAATAATAAATAAACATTGGAAAAAGAACAAAACAAAAAGCCTGAAAACTCTGAAATATGCATTGTTTTCATCATTTATACATGTATATAGAAAAAAATTGCTTTCAAGAGAACACAAAACTTGAAATTCCGAAAATAACCAAACACTTTAGCAATTTGATGATAACTTAGAAGTTAACATATGGCATAACATGGCATAATAAGATTTGTCGTTACTTTTGAATGAATGTTACAGCAGCATTTGAACATGGCCAGTCAATGATGTTCTCCATTTACTATAGCACAAATCAATAAAACTAGCTTCCTGAGATTCAGCTGCCAGTTTTACACATTTCAATCAAACTTACATAATTTTATCACACACCCATGCCGATTTTGTGACTCCATAAAAATGGTATTGCACGGCCGTGCATATATTTTGACATGACGTCATTAGCGTTATACAAACATATTGTAAAGACGCGCTAAATGTTAGCGTTCTACTATAGGCACGTCAATGAAAAATGACTCTTATTTCACTTTAAACAGTTTTTATTTTGGGTATGTGATAAATAGAATAATAAATTCGTGTAAAATCATAACTGAATTTATTGCACTCGTTAAATAAAATAATATTATGCTCGCCAGAGGCTCGCATAATATAATTTTATTTAACGAGTGCAATAAATTCAGTATTGAACCTACACTCATTCAATATCCTCTATTTATCAGATTTACCTCGGCGCAGGAGTGTAATAAAGCCATTTAATAAAAACAATATTACACTAGTTTAATAACATTTTGCGCTATTTAGAAACATAGCGTTAAAGGGCGCTAATGTTAGCGTTACACTATGGGCGTGCATTGAAAGATTACTCATTTTAACAGTTTACTCTTCTTATTTTATATATGTGATAAATAGAATATTATAAAATTTATATTCGTGAAGATTCAATACTAAATTTATTGAACTCGTTGAATAAAACAATATTATGCTCGCCTGAGGCTCGCAAAATATGATTTTATTCAACTTGTTCAAAAAATTTAGTATTAAACTACACTCATTCAATATCCTCTATATACAGGCCAATGTTACCATCTAAAATCATTAAAGTAGTTACCAAATTACAATAACACAAGTCAATGCCACGCTAAAAATTGATAAAAAAATATGTCAAAGTCACTATTTTATTAAGTTAACATAGCAAAGTACAATCTTTTGGCAAATTTAGGTAACAAGTGAATTACACTCTAAAATTGACATAATTTTTCAATCACATTCAATGTAAATTAACTTTCTAAAACTGACATAACACAAGTCAATCAGGCTTTCATCTTGACACGGCACCAGTATTCTGTTTCACTTACTTCCTTTCCTTAATTCTGTCTGAGCTTTGTGTTCTTTCCTTTTCAATTTTGCCCAAGCTTGATCTTTTATTTCTTGACGCACTCGCATCGAAGCTGTATGCGAACACATTTGTTTCAGTTTCGCTTCCATTGCACTTTTCATGTTTATTTCATCTGGGATATGAACATAACGAATTGTTTTGCCATTCACAAAGAAATGATCAAACTTTTTCACACCCGAGTATGATTTAAAAACAACATCTTCCATATTGATATTCATGTATCCGTCAACCTTTTTAACCCTTCCTATTATTTTCTTTTCTGGGCCTTTTTTTTTCCCCTTACCGTATTTTATTTTCCCTTCCCCCCATTTTTAAAAAACACAGCATCGATTTTAAATCTTTAAAAAACTTCTCCCCCGGTTTGGGGTCCCCCCTGTCTAGGGAAATCATTTTTTTTGGCCTTTTTTTGTAAGAAAAATTCAAATTTTTATCAAACTGAATTCACTTTTCAGTTTCAAGAATCACCCTTCTCTTCTTTTAACTTCTGCAATATTTCTTCTTTGCTACTCCCAGTTACCAGAACCGTCTTGTTTCGTGACTTTGAGCCCTGGAAATAAAATCAAATTGTCCGTTTAAATTTAACCCTTTACCTACTGAATTTCTGAAAGTGGCATTATTTCCATTTAAATAGTGGTCATACAGGTCAAACTTAAAATAAATGAAGATTTTACCATAAATGTTTTCAATTTTATAGTCTAGTTCATGTTTACAATCAATAACCCACCTGACTCACAGAAAATTGTATAAATATCAGGGATTCTTTTTTTTGGCTTATTTTATAGCCGATATTCGCTCATATTCCCAATTGAAAATAGTATATTATTTTCCCAATCCACAGGAAAAAATTCCCAATTGAAAGTTACAAAATAAAAATATTGAATAACAAATTCTAAAATCTTTGAAAATAAGGGCCTCTTCACTGTAATGGTGCTTAAATGTTTGAAGATGCCATCCTAGACATTGATTCTTTTCATTCATTTAATCTTTGCAAGATTTAATTCATGCAATTTTTCCCAATTTTTAAAAAAAAAATCGCTGAAATTCCCAATTCCATGGGTATGGGTCATGTTCCCAAAATCCTGGGAAAAAAACCCAGAAAATTCTTTGAAATGTATTGTTAACATTCAAAAGATAAAAAGAGTGGGGCAGTCTTTTTATATTTTAGGCAGTTGTTACATTTTATCTTAAGCAAGTTTTTTTATCATCAATTATGGGTCAATGACAATAGTAACAGTCAATCTTTTTAAATATATAGCAAATTCAGCTGAACTCGACAACGAAAAAATGAGCATATTGTCACTTCAAATAGAACTGTCCAGCATCTATTTTTAGAACCATTCATTATCAATTTTTGGGATATCAAGATGAAAATCTGAAGCTATTCAGACAACAAAATGGAGCCTGGTCCAAGTGCATGGTAGTGCTAACTGGCCTGACCTTATAGTAATACTGGTCACTTCTGGTTACCGTGGTTACAGGGTTAAACTAAATTTCTTCCATGTATAATTGGATAGTTACGTAACAGTCGCAAATAGCAGGATTGTGATAAAAGCTATCCAAATAACCAGAGATAGTTATTTAAGGTTCCCTGGGCATGATATATAAGAAACATATTGAAATCCTATATAAGACTTGTTGACAAGTTTTTGACACATTTTTACAGGAAACAAATAGGATAATTAAATGATCATGAAGTGAAGCACACATGAATTAGGTCTAGTTATATCATTTTGTTTACAAAACACTTTGAAGTCAAACACCCCATGAAATATGCATAACCTTTAATCAGATTTTGCTGCTCTGACTCTGTTAAATAATTCTGAATCCACATCTGATAAATATACATCATGCATGTATCACATTGTCAAGTGATCTTCAAGTTCATGATATGAGAGAAAACAATATATATTACTTCATCAATTAAATAACAGCTTCTATAAATGGAATCAAGTCTTATTCTTGAATGATGACTGTCAACTCTATGCTATATAAAATAAAGCAGTTTCTTTCCAAATATTTAAGTTACACTGTACAGCATATTTTCTTCAATAGTTCCTTTTTCCTGAATAAGCTGTGTTAAAAAATGGATGTAACGTTAAACATTTGACTTGAACTGTTGGGTTACAGTTCATTTACCTTATCTAATGTAACTTGTGATTTCTTCAGGCCTAGGATTTTTGAGAGATATTTAACCAACTCCAAGTTAGCTTCTCCATCCACTGGTGGGGCTGCAATCTGTATCCCTACAGTATCATTAATATCTGAAAGTTCAAAGGTCAGATTTAAGTTAATATAAGAAGATTAACACCTAAACACCATATAACCTACAGTACATGTACATACTTATGAATGGTGACATTAATCATGTAATACACCTGGTAAAATATATTTTATTATTTATCTGGTGAAGTTTTTCTTATAATCAATATGCAGACATTCATTTTGACATTATTTATATTTTTTTTATTTCATGGTCACATTTATCTTTTCATTAACCTGGTGACATTTATCTTGCTATCAACCTGGTGACATTTATTTATATTTTCCTAGTGACATTTATTTATATTTTTCCTGGTGACATTTATTTATATTTTCCTGGTGACATTTTTCTTGTTATAAACATGGTGACTAGTGCTTGCAAAAACACTTAATTTGAAAACCTGAGTTCCCTTTAAATCTTTGAGAGCTTGATCTTTTTTAAACCACAACAACATTAATATGGGTCTTTGAATGGCGTTTGAACGCCATAAACAAAACGCAGATAATAGTTTCATAAACAGCTTCTGTCAGTTTGTGTTGTAATTGTTGTATTATGATACTGAAAGACATAAGTAGCTAAACAAAATTGTCAAACTTCGGCCTGGTTTGTTTGTCTGCTTTTTAATATGAGACGCGTCACGACAAAACCAACATAATGGGTTTGCGACCAGCATGGATCCAGACAAGCCTGCGCATATGCGCAGTCTGATCAGGATCCATGCTGTTCGCTTACCAACCCTATTACAAGTAGAGAAACTGATAGCGAACAGCATGGATCTTGATCAGACTGTGCGGATACGCAGGCTGGTCTGGATCCATGCTGGTCGCAAACACACTATGTTGGTTTTGTTGTGACGCGGCTAATATATTCTAACACATTTTTGGGTCATATCTCGTTGGTAGGTCCATCTATCAAGCTTTCCTGAACATCTTATGTAGTAAATTACCAATTTTCTCAGCAAGTGAAAAACCAGTAAAAACAAATGATTCTTAATTTTAATTAAATAATTTTACAAATAACCATCCCAAAAGATTTAAATTCGGAATAAAAAAATTTTTTTGGGTTTTTTTCCCCGCTTTAAATTTTTTCAGTTACCCTGTTTTTAAACAAAAATGGGAATAGGTTGATTTAAACTATTGTTGGGCCCAAAAGTGCACTTTTGAAAATATAACGCAAGGGCCTGCAAGTACCTTTAAAGGGAAAACAGCTGGTTAAGAATATAATACCTGTGATAGAGTTACACTTGGCTGCTGGTTTAGCTAGTATCTTGATCTCGATCCCTGCCTTACTGACTGACACAGGTTCTGTTTGTGAGACAGTTGAAGCTCCTGATTCTCCTGGCTGAATATATTAGAAACATAAAACATAATCTTTCTATAAAAATCTGCTACTATGATTGGATACGTAAATAAAGCATTGCCTGGCAATATCTTCCCTCTACTGGAAGCGAGATTCTGACACAGAACAAGAACATCTCAGAATCTAGCTTTGGCATGTCAATATATTTTAACTAGAATAAGAGGTGGCCCTGAAAAGGAATATAATACCAGCAGTTTTGCCTGGCTTACAACATCAAGCTAGCTAAAGAGACTTCAGCGAACAGCTTTTTATATCCCGGAATAACCAATATTCAATCAGTTAAGTTGTTTTTAACCAATAATAAATGGAAGGGGAAATTATACTTTAAATTTATGTAAGAAATTAATGCATCTATCAACATTTCATTTTAAGGTTGGCACATTTTCAACATGTATTGATCTTTCTTAGAAAAACAATAAAAACGATATGACCCACTTGGGTCACACCCAGGAATATTTTAACCTAAATTCAAACAGCAGGGTAATCACTACTAAAGAATTTGTTCAAGATATTTCAGGGCTACTAAAAATTGTAGAAAATTTCACAACTATTTAACAATTTTAAACAGTTTTTTCAAGATGTTATAACATACATGTATGTACAGTACAATGCATTGGTATGACTACTGTTAATGTGTATAAAAAGGGCAGTTTAAGGTGTCACTTCTTAGTATGCTATTGATAAATGCATCCAATCATTACATCCATTTACCTTCCCCACTTTAAAATATTACCAAATATGAATACTTGTCTAGATCTGCCAGATGGTATTGCTTATAAAAAACATTTATTTTCAATCATCACATGAATTTTTTTTAGCAATTTATGATTTTATTAATAAGGATCCCTATGTAAAGTCTGATGAATATTTAGTGGTACATCATATAAATAAATGTTTTAAATACACCTAAGACTGAGGTACATTTTGTAAATGGTAAATTTCTAGCCAATACTAATTACTTTATAAAAAAATTTAGCTTGCTTGGAAATTTTTTTATCACTATTTTAAACAAGTGACTGTTTAACTAACAATTTCCTATTGTTTTTCTGATAACATCTGACAATTAATCCAGTATGGCATTTCTGCAAATGACTTTATGTACTTTAGTCAGACATGGCATCAGCACCACAGAATTAACCCTTTCACTGCCATAGGGAAGCCATTTCTATAATAATAATTATAATAATAATAAATATACTGGCATGCGAGCAGTTCCCGTACAAAAATCATAGTTACTTAAACATTATTTTTTATTACGGTCACTCACCAAAATTTGAATGTTACACATCAATATTCGGCTTGTCACAAAAATCATGGAAATTCCATCATGTTCTAAACATAGAATAACCCTTACTTATGAGTACTCATATGGGGTACCGAAATTATCCATTATTTTGTATGAAGAGAAGTAGTTCCCGTACATAAAATCTAACCCATTATAATTATACAATTTTATTATATCGGACCTATTTTTCATTTACAATTGTTGAACAGACCATTATCTAAGAGATAAATAGATGTAAATCAGGAAATAGAGCGTAGACTAAACGCGGGTATCTATTACCCTGTACCGTTACCCCAACGCATTCACATGCAATAGCATGCTTGTATGCATGATATTTTACGCATCAAAGGCATAAAATTATTTTATATAGTAATATTGGTCAAAATTCTGATAATTAAACAAGTTTTCATCACATTGCCTACTTATTTGTAAACAGGTGGTATTAGTGGAAAACCCTTTAACAAGCCTCACGTGCAAGTATTTTTGCGCATGCGCGCAATGACGGAATCCCCCAGAGAAAACAAGGTCACGTTTTGACGACGCACAGGTGAAAGTGATTTAAAATGAGACTTTTTATACGTACTGCCAAACTGACACTTAGATTTTGTCTCGTTTATGTATCTGCTTGATTTGAAATGAATTTTTGAAGAATGCAGGTAAAAATCAAGCATTTAAATGAAAAATACGGGTACTGCTTCTGTACGGGAACTGCTCGAATGCCAGTATAGATAATACACCAATAAACACTTTCCCCAACTAGCAGACAACAGCCTATTCTTATCAGTAGGTTTTCGAGTAAAGATAACCGGTTGCGTACCTCACTGTATAAATCGTATGTAAAATGGTCTGACATATGGTAGGTTTAACAGTTAATTTAAATACTTTGGTGACAAAAAAGTATGTAAAATTATATACTGTGGCAAAGCTAAGATCCCAAGCTTTCCATTGATGTAATATTTTTTAAAATCTGACATTTAATCACAAAAAACTAGCGGTTTAAAAATGGCTTAATTTGTATTGTTTTAGCATAAGAGATATCGATTTTACTCGAAGATAAGGGAAACAACTCGTATTTTTTCACTCGATATACCTCGGTTATTTACGTAGTTCATATGAAAAGTGTTTATGGGTGTATTATACCATCGACAATAATTATTATATACTAGCAGATTTGGAAACATATATAATTATTATAATACTAATAACAAATAATAATAATTATATTAATTAATAATATAGTAATTTCTTAGAAAACCTTCTGGCAAATAGGGGATCAATAAATAAAATTATAAATAACCCTCTGGCAGCAAAAGGGTTAAGAATGTGTTTGAATTTAGGTTGCGATTGAAAATTGGTTGTTTCGGGATAGTACTGCTATCTAGACCTGTTCTGTCGCACATTATCAAAATGAAAACAACATTCATTTCTGACTTAGGACAAATGTTTTCTACCACCAAACACATATTTTGTGAACATTCAATGAGCCGTACCCCCATAGGCTTTTGGGTAATATGTGCTATCCGAAATTATCTACACTTCACAAATTTCGTGAAAATAATAATAAGAAACCTTAGATTTCTTTTTTGGCATTGAAATAATTTCCGACTGATGTATCTCTCTTAAATTTGATAAATTCTTCAGGTTTTTTGAAAGCATCACATGTGTAGCATAAACATTTAATGCGGAAAAATAAATGTAATATTTAATTTTTGTGAAAACGAAAAAAAATGAACACCACTAAATATTTGTATTGCGCTACTAATATGGAACATTAGATACTCTGGGTTTTCCTACAGAAAGATTCTCTGAAGACAAATTTTGTAATAATTTTGGCCGCAGACTTATTGATTTTTGTAAGTCTACAGATGTTCACATAGCCAATGGTAGATTGGGTAAAGATGCTTACATTGGTGAAACAACATGCAAGGGTGTTAGTGTAAGATTTTTTTTTTTCGACTATGTCTTACTTTCACCAGAACTATTTCCTCATGTTAAATGCTTTGAATTTTTACCATTTGACCCGTTATTGTCTGATGTACATTGTGCAGTGTCTTTTGCATTAGATTCTGGTATAAATCAGACCGTGTCTTGTACATTGGATAGTGATCGGTCACGTGATACTGTAAATGATGTAGTTAAACCATTTTGGAATTCTGAAAGTTCAGATGAGTTTCTGAATTGTATTGATTGTGAGACTGTTAATATGATTTGTTCATCAATTGCTACCCATAGTAGTGAAGGTACATGTTCACTTGACTTTATTAACAAAGTCAACAATTGAAACTGGTGAGATACTTGTGTTCATCAACTTCAGAATGATAAGAAATGAAGTAAAATAAAAACATTTTAAAAGATTATATACAATGTACATTTATAAAATAAAAATATAAAGGATTGTTATAAAGTAAAAAGCTCAGAAACTGCAATGTTTTATTTGATAGATTGCAAATATATCTTTGATTAATTGACATAGATTTGATTCATTAAAACAAGTCCATAATTTGATGAATTGCAAAATCTTAAATTTATTATTAATTAATTACAAAGTTTGCAAATGCATATAAAATAAACTATATATTCGGCTATTTTTTGTGTTTTCAGCATGTTATACTGGTACTGAAAATGTTATTTACCTATGGCAATACCAACTTCTGCTGCTGAAAAATGTAATTTAGTAAAAATTGTACAGAAGAAAGGCCTAACTCCTCAAAAAAAAGTCCTAATAATCAGTGGTTTGGGACTTAGAATGTTAGGGATAGTCAGAAGGAGTATTATCTTTTCTAAGCGTAATTAAACAGATCTTTTTTCGCACCGCAAGAATAACTTAAATTAAATCTGAAAACTTTGTATAAGAAGTTACCCAAGAAATTATTCAAAATACTAAACCTTAGGAATTACCAAGAAAGTATTGTTAAAAAATTAAAAAGTCTAAGATCGTACAAAACCAAATGGAAGTATCCGGTGTTCTTCTCAAATAAATATTCGGGGGAAAAACGGAAAGAACTAATCGAACCCAAGGTTTCGTTAGAAGCATTTTCATTGATCATTTTCGTAATATAATAGTGATTGATGATTCTGAAGATTTTAATTTGACAAGCATTTTGATATTGAATCAGTTTCATGAATTTAATGAATATATTAAATCGCCCCCCATTTACTACTTTAGGAAATTGACAAAAGTTATTAAAACTTTAAAAATAAACAAAAGCATGTTCACCTAAAGATAAATATAACTGAATGAGTATATAAAATACTCAAAAGATTTGTTATTACCATTGTATTGCAGCTTATTTAATCTTGTACTTGAAACAGGAATTGTTTCCAGATACATGGTGTACGGGTATATATTTTACCCCCTATTTATAAAAAACAAAGGGGACGAAAATTATGCTGATAATTATAGAGGTATAAATATTTTAAGTTGTCTTGGTAAATTGTTTCACATCAGTTTTTAAATTCTAGAATACAATCTTCCTTTTTGGAAGAGTCTGGCCATTAATTGAGGAACAGGCAGGGTTTTCGTAATGGTTATGGAACTAGGATCATATTTTTTCCTTAAAAATGTTGAATTGATATTTACTTATCGAAGAAAAAGAGATTGTATTGCTCTTTTATTGATTACAAGAAAGCATTTGATAGTATAAACCGTACTGCTCTCTGGAGGAAATTGTTAGAACATAATATTGATGGGAAAATACTTAAAGTTATTCATAATATCTTTGACAAAGCATTGAAAGCTAAGTCTTGTGTTAAAGTGTAAAAGCTTTGTCAGATACATTTGTAAGTTGTTAAGGTGTGCGTCAGGGAGAAAATCTTTCTCCAATTTTGTTTTCAATTTTCCTTAATGATTTGGTTTCTTATATGTCTACATATTGTGAAGGGTTGCAGTTTTTTTTATCAGACCAGATAAATGAACAGTTAAGTAATGATGAAGTTGATGTATTCTTGAAGTTGTACTTATTACTCTATGCTGATGATACAGTTGTTTTCGCGGAAAGTCAAACTGGCCTTCAAACAGCACTAAACTGCATGCTTGATTATTGTAAATTATGGCATTTGACTGTTAATACGATAAGACAAAAGTTGTTGTATTTTCTCGTGGTAAATTAAGAAATAAGCCTGTATTTTATTTCAATAATGCGCCTCTAGAAGCTGTAGATGATTTTAGTTATTTAGGTGTGATATTCAACTTTAATGGTAAATTTAATAAAACAAAAAAGCACTTGACAGATCAAGCGAGGAAGGCTATGTTTAGTATTTTAACTAAAATTAAGAAATTGTGTTTGCCAATTGATATTCAGCTACAGTTGTTTGATAGTATGGTTAAGCCAATATTATTGTATGGGTCGGAGGTGTGGGGATCTGAAAATAATTCTATTATTTCTCAGTTTCAATTGAAATTTTATAAATATATACTTAAACTTAAGATGTCAACTCCTTCGGTTATGGTCTTGGGAGAACTAGGTGCATTTCCTATTGAAAATGTATATTACTTGCAGAATGTTAAATTTTTGGAGTAAATTAGTTAATGGTAAAAATGATAAAATATGTGCTTCTTTGTACCGCACTATGTATAATCTTCATGAAAAGGGTATTTTTACATTGTCAGTGGATCGAGAAAGTAAAATCTACTTTGAATAATCTTGGTTGTTCTGATTTTTTGGATAACTCAGAATGTTGCAAATTTTAATAATTTTAAATATGTAATAAAATCACGATTACGTGATCAGTTTTTACAAGTATGGAATAGTGATGTTTTTGATTCTGCTAAGTGTTTAAACTATAGAATATATAAAACTCAATTTAAATTAGAACATTATTTACTATGTTTACCAAAGAAATTTAGCAATTGCTCTCTGTAAATTTAGATGTCTCAATTCTAATATTCCTATAGAGAAAGGTCGCTATTTTGGTATTGAAAGAGAAAATAGAACATGCTCACTTTGTAATCAGCAAGAGTTAGGTGATGAATTTCATTATATTTTTAAATGTACTTATTTTAATCATGAAAGACACAGGTATATCAGTAACTATTATTCAAGGTTTCATATAGTATTTTAAATTTTCAGGCTCTTATGTGTAGCGACAACAGAAATACTTTATTTAATCTAGCCATTTTTGTCAAAGCTATAATGCTGAAATTTCAATAAGTCATCTTCCTTATTTACTTATTTACTTCATGCCATGTTTGTATTATTATTTTTTGTTTTGTTGATTGTTCACTCTTATGCCCTTAAGGGCCATGAGTTTTGTTTATAAATAAAAAAAAGAAAAAAAAAAGAAAGAAATAAAAACGTATTTATTACAGTTTAAGAGTAATAGGTGTACGGTTAAATTAGTTGTGTCATATTTTAGCACGATATTTTTTCGTGCTCCCTGAACTTGATGTGTGTATGAAATTGACAATTTGTTCTGACTTCAAATAGCCATTATGATGGTATCAAAAGGCTATTATTTTTTTTAAAATGTTTTGGATATTCAGATAAGTTGTCAGTTTCTCAGTTCCTTATATTGTGCCCGTTAGAATGGCCATACCTTAATTGTGTTTTTAAAAATCCCTGCCTTTAGTTCCACTTGCACATCTTTCTTGAAACATTTTAACCTGGGACGTTAGTGTCAGCCATTGCTCCTCATCGCCATGCAGGTACTAAACCCGATAGGGAAATTGGATTCTGTTATGTGAGGAAACTATTTAGCTAGCTTACGGAACGTCGGTGGTTCTAGGCCCATTTCTGCCTGATATATTACACGGAAGGGCACCTGAGGTCTACCTACACCAGTATAAAGCTGGAAAGTCGCCCTATATATGATACATGCTGTGTTGTAGTGACGACCCCCACCAAATAAAGTCTAACTTATTTTCCTCTCTCTTAATTGACACGCTTTCTAATTATCCGAAAATCATGCTTGTTTTATCCGATAATTCACTGAAATTCATTCTCTTTTCGTCGTGTGCTTAATTGTATATACTTATTTCCTTATAGTTCTGTGTTAATGAAAACTTGACATATAGGTTTTTTTTTTGTTTTAATTGGCATTTATGCAATTATTTCTGAGCCAGAATCAATTGCCGTTCGGTCAATGCTTTTGTGATAAGCATTGTTATTCAATTTTCCAACCTGTTGTATATCAAGGAAACACAATTGTCAAAATTTACTGTTATTTTAAATTACATATTATGTACAAAAATAAGAACATTTTATAGCACTCTTAGACTGTTTTTACAATGCATGGTTGTTTATAAAGTCTTGATATTCTTATGTAGACGATATTGACTTTCCCAATGCCAAGGTCATGCTTAGTCATTTTATTATGAATTTAGAAATTTCGTGTCCGTTCAGTATTATTTGAACCAATAGAAAAAAAAATACTTAAAAAACTTTTTGCAGAAATATTAATTGTAATAAGATGATATGCAAAGACAGGTTTGGGCTTGAGATCAAAATTACTCGCCCCGGGGATTACCTGATTTATATAGGAAAACACATTTAAGTTTCATTGCGTGAAACTATAT